TCCCCATCCTCAGCAGCCAGTGAAGAGTTCCGATACTAATGGTGCCAGTAGTATTCAGATTAAACATCTGTCTTGTTTTTTTCTGAGCCTCGAGCATCTGCCAAAGCCTCTCGTCACTCCTAGCTGCAACAGTCTCACCAGACTGTGGTGATCCATCTGCTCCCCCAAACTGTACATGCTCTTCCACAAGGCACTAACCACATCTGCCTTATTCATGCATCAGTATTCCACCAAGTTGTGCAGAGCCAGCCTGTCTGTCCGCCTGTTTGTTTCTCAACACATCCCGGTGAAAAAATCCAGACAATGCTCCTCACCCGTGTCCTCTGCAGTGAAGCATGCCACTCTGCACAAAGCATGTCTGTCCTGAGCTTCTTTAGCTCGCTTTCTGAGTCAGTTACAATCACGATGTGTGTGTCTGTCATGTTCTCTAACCAGCGGAAAGCTGCAGTGACTGCCTCCACCACAGTTCTTAAGCGGGATAGTGGTATCATATGCTAAGCTCTCCTGCACCAAACATCGACCATTAATTTTTGCTAAGAAACCCCAAGCATTTCTTTTGCCTCTTGACACTGAACCGTCTGTGTAAATAATATGTGTAATTTGAAGCAGTTGGAATTTGTACTCATAGCTTTTCTCCAGGATATGAAATGTCCCTTTTTTTTTTTTAAACTGTCTGTATTACCAGCTCCTGGTTCAGATACTATCTTTTCAGTGTAATGTTCCTTGTAACAATTGTGTTTACCAATAAAGTATGTAGACATTTATGTAGTCTACTAACGTGTGTCAACATGAGTGTAACATATATATAGTATTGTACATGTGTGTGTAACCATGTGTGTAGTCTTTTAAAGTGTGTAGTCTTTTAAAGTGTGTAGTCTTTTAAAGTGTGTAGGCGTGTGTTACCTTGTATGTAGTATTTTAAAGTGTGTAGATGTGTGTATAACCACGTGTGTAGTCTTTTAAAGTGTGTAGGCATTTGTAACCATGTATGTAGTATCCTAAAGTATGTAGACATGTGTCTAGTCTGTTAAAGTGTGTAGACAGGTGTGCCATCTGTTAAATTGCATAGACATGTGTGTAGTCTATTAAAAGTATTTAGACATATAAAGTCTGTTAAAAGTGTTTAAACATTTGTGTAGTCTATTAAAAGTGTTAAATCAAATGAGAAGTCTGTTAAAGTGTGTAGTCTGTTAAAAGTGTTAAATCATATGAGAAGTCTGTTAAAGTGTGTAGTCTGTTAAAAGTGTTAAATCATATGAGAAGTCTGTTAAAGTGTGTAGTCTGTTAAAAGTGCTTAGACATATGTCTAGTCTGTTCAAGCATTTAGACATGTAGTCTAATGGAGTTTGTATGCATGGGTATGTAGCCTGTAAACTTAGCCCATCCACATCTTTCATATCGGGATGTTGTGTCACCATAAATGGTATCTCTCGATTTTTACTGTAGTCACGTTGAAATACTGAAACAAGTATTTAATGTCTGTTGTCATTTTGGCTGGTAACTACTGTCTTATTTTTAAATACTTATAAAATATGCATTATCCTTGAGAATGATGATGTATCTAAAGAGACAGTGCATGAATGCCTTTTAGATAAAGACAATGTCTCTTGTGTATTTTATTATAGTTACTGTATTAAGGCCTTTGTTGTGGTAGGGTACATATGTCTAAATTTAGGTATAGAAAGTTTCAATTAACAATTGTTCTTCAAGGGAGACAACATGAAAAGCTGATATGATAACAGATTTAATGACACTTGAACTAGATTCAAATGATACAAGCTTGTACAGTCCTGTAGTCTGTTTACAAACTTTACAAAGAGACCTTATTTACCTACCCCAATGCAACCTGGTTGTAAGCTCTTAACTCTTTCTGTTAAAAACAATGCTGCATGCATGATTGGGTATTATTCTGTACCACTAAACATGCAATGTTGTTTTTACGTCTTGCGTTTAGTGAGCGACTCTAAGAGGTCTTTAAACATCATTGTTTCTTGCAAGGGTTGTATATTTGGCTCCTCTGGTAGCAGCATATCCATTTATTTAGTATTGTCATTCACGACTCCTTCAGACATTAGACAGGACATTATGATAAGGAAAGTGACCCTCAGACAGCTACAACTAGTATTAGCCTAGTTACAAAGGTTAGTTGCCTATCCTTTACAGGATGTGGCAGAACCAACCCCACAATTTTTTGGCTGTTGTAGTTTTTCTTGGCAAATTTACATCCAGTAGTTTGTAATTGCTTTCTGGACGGTCGGCTTCTCGATACTACTGTCAAAACCAACGCAAGGCGCATGGCCCGCAGCTGGGATCAAACCTGGCACCCAGGCATTACAAAGCGCGTTCGCAATGCCTAGACCACAGACACCAACATTTTTGGTTATGATGATGATAGTGTGACTCTGTTGAGCCATCTTTTTCTGGGCTATACACTTCTCATTAATATATCCTACTGGTTGGTTTGGATTCGTTCTGACCATATACCCAAAACATTTATTTCTTTGATTTTTCAGTCAAGCCATTGGCTAGTGTTGTTCTTATGATGCTCTCAGCATTTATTCTTTCCCCCATCAGGAGCACATTATTACAGTATGTACAGTTACAAATCCTATCAGTTCCCTGGACCTAATATATGATAATTTTCAGCTGAACATTCAGATCCTAAAACACTGTAACCCACATCTTAAAACGTTTGGGATTAAATCCATGAAAAATGGAAAGTGGTCTGTGTGGAGCAAATTACTTGATTTGGTTCAGCATATCACTGCTCTTCTTCTTCTTCTTCTTCTTCTTCTTCTTCTTCTTCTTCTTCTTCTTCTTCTTCTTCTTCTTCTTCTTCTTCTTCTTCTTCTTCTTCTTCTTCCTTCTTCTTCTTCTTCTTCTTCATTTTCTCTTCTTCTTCTTCTTCTTATTCTTCTTTTATTCTTCTCTTCTTCTTCTTCTTCTTCTTCTTCTTCTTCTTCTTCTTCTTCTTCTTCTTCTTCTTCTTCTTCTTATCTTCTTCTTCTTCTTCTTCTTCTTCTTCCTTCTTCTTTCTTCTTCTTCTTCTTCTTCTTCTTATTCTTCTTCTTCTTCTTCTTATTCTTCTTCTTCTTTTCTTCTTCTTCTTCTCTTCTTCTCTTCTTCTTCTTCTTCTTCTTCTTCTTCTTCTTCTTCTTCTTCTTCTTCTTCTTCCTTCTTCTTCTTCTTCTTCTTCTTCTTCTTCTTCTTTCTTCTTTCGTCTTCTTCTTCTTCTCTTCTTCTTCTTCTTCTTATTCTTCTTCTTCTTCTTCTTCTTCTTTTCTTCTTCTTCTTCTTCTTCTTCTTCTTCTCTTCTTCTTCTTCTTCTTCGTCTTCTTCTTCTTCTTCTTCTTCTTCTTCTTCTTCTTCTTCTTCTTCTTCTTTCTTCTTCTTCTTCTTCTTCTTCTTTCTTCTTCTTCTTCTTCTTCTTCTTCTTCTTCTTCTTCTTCTTCTTCTTCTCTTCTTCTTCTTCTTCTTCTTCTTCTTCTTCTTCTTCTTCTTCTTCTTCTTCTGCTTCTTCTTCTTCTTCTTCTTCTCTTCTCTTCTTCTTCTTTCTTCTTCTTCTTCTTTCTTTCTTCTGTCTTCTTCTTCTTCTTCTTCTTCTTCTTCTTCTTCTTCTTCTCTTCTTCTTCTTCTTCTTCTTCTTCTTCTTCTTCTTCTTCTTCTTCTTCTTCTTCTTCTTCTTCTTCTTCTTCTTCTTCTTCTTCTTCTTCTTATTCTTCTTCTTCTTCTTCTTCTTCTTCTTCTTCTTCTCTTCTTCTTCTTATTCTTCTTGATATTCTTCTTCTTCTTCTTCTTACTTCTTATTCTTCTTCTTCTTCTTCTTCTTATTCTTCTTCTTCTTCTTCTTCTTCTTCTTCTTCTTTCTTCTTCTTCTTCTTCTTCTCTTCTTATTCTTCTTCTTCTTCTTCTTCTTCTTCTTCTTCTTCTTCTTCTTCTTCTTCTTCTTCTTCTTCTTCTTCTTCTCTTCTTCTTCTTCTTCTTCTTCTCTTCTATTCTTCTTCTTTCTTCTTCTTCTTCTTCTTCTTCTTCTTCTTCTTCTTCTTCTTCTTCTTCTTCTTCTTCTTCTTCTTCTCTTCTTCTTCTTCTTCTTCTTCTTCTTCTTCTTCTTCTTCTTCTTCTTCGTCTTCTTCTTCTTCTTTTCTTCTTCTTCTTCTTCGTTTCTTCTTCTTCTATTCTTCTTCCTAGTCTTCTTCTTCTTCTTCTTCTTCTTCTTCTTCTTCTTCTTCTTCTTCTTCTTCTTCTTCTTCTTCTTCTTCTTCTTCTTCTTCTGCTTCTTCTTCTTCTTCTCTTCTTCTTTTCTTCTTCTTCTTCTTCTTCTTATTCTTCTTCTTCTTATTCTCTCTTCTTCTTCTTCTTTCTTCTTCTTCTTCTTCTTCTTCTTCTTCTTCTTCTTCTTCTTCTTTCTTCTCTTCTTCTTCTTCTTATTCTCTTCTTCTTCTTCTTCTTCTTCTTTTTTTCTTCTTCTTCTTCTTCTTCTTCTTCTTCTTCTTCTTCTTCTTCTTCCTCTTCTTCTTCCTCTCTCCTCTTCCTCTTCCTCTTCTTCTTCTTCTTCTTCTTCTTCTTCTTAGTGTTTACCAGCTACAAACTTTGATGGAAAGTTCTGGTTGTTCATCCAGCTCTGGACATTGATCTTGTTCCAGAACTTGAGCATGTGCATTCATTTTACAAATCAGGCTTATTTGTGTGCAGACTGTTAGTTCCTCAACTTTCAGATCTTGTAGATGCACCCTGACTTTGAAGAAAGCATGTCAATTGATATGTACAGTGTATTTTATTATGTTAAAGTACATTTTTGTAAAACATCACAGGGCACTTTATATCACTGGGTATAAGAGGAAAGATTAGGAAACCCTGGTTTTATCTCTACCCTTATATTACTGACATTTCACGAAAAAGTACTTGGAAAGTCTTGCACACAATTAGATTTACATTAATTATCTTCATGTGTGCTTATATTGCAAAGCTGAACAGTTTTCTTCTTTTCTCTATCTCCAAAGGTTGTGTTCAAAGCCAAAGCAAAATACGAGCCCAAACAATACAAGTAAGTACTGCAAGTATTTATTGGTGGAAAAATCATGTGCCAGGTTATACTGTCAGTCATTACTTATACAGTTCTTTTCCATGCCTTCTGCTGGTTTGAGAATCAGCTGTACACACATGCTGTAATTTTAACTGACTCACAGAGCATGTTGAGAAAACAGGCATGCTTCGTGCAGAGTGGCAAGCATCACTTTATAGGTCCAGGGTGGTTTACATCCTTTGGATATTTTCTCCACGTTATGCTGATGTGTTGGGAAATGAGCAGGCAGATAGACTGGCTGGTTCTGCACCACTTGGTGGTGAACTGATGGATGACAAGCTAGATATTGTGAGGGCCCTTTGGGAGCGAGTGAACAGTGCGGAGGCGCAGATGGATCATTACGGTCTAAGGAGAATGGTGCTGCGAGGAGTTACTAGGGGATCTGGCCAACACTCAACACTCAGGGGAAGGATGAAAAGGATATGCAATCAAACGGTTACTGGTACCATCAGAATCGGAACTCTTCGCTTGCTGCTGAAGATTGGTACTGAGCACTTATGGGAGTGTCCCAAGTGCTGTGATGTCGAATCTTAATTTAATTTTCAACATTCAATACCTTAATGCCAGACTGTCTAATATCTACTTTTCTTCTCATGACATTCCCAACAGGTGCGGGTATTAAGCTTTAGTGTTGGAGGGGATGCTTCTCCTTCTTCATTACAATCACTGGGTGTAAATTCTGGCAAAAAGTTCTTATTCTTAAACCTTTAATCTTGTTTCCAGAAACTGAGTGCTGCATGCACATCCATTTTACAGATCTGTCTTATTTGAATGCAGACTGCTGGTTCCTTGCCTCTCAGGCACATGTACTCCAACTTCAAAGAAAGCTCCCAGCTAGTCAACTCAGAAAACATGCATTTTGGGGAGGCAGTGGGTCTATTCTGGTTTTTGTTCCTCCACAATAGGGCCCCAGAACCCATACAGGGATTGTGTGAACTGATTTCATGGACAACATACAAATTAAAGCTTGGAGTACATAAAGAGAAATGTTAAAAAAATTTTTAAAATAATTTTAGTACATCCAGAGAATGGCCTTTCTTGGAGTATATAAAGTTGCAAAATTGCGAAACAGCGATAGATATAATAGTACTGTACTGTACAGTACTGGACAAAGGAGACATTCTGAAAACTATTTATGAATTCTTCTTTTGTTCACTTGAAATAAATTTTCTATCTCTACACTGTTGTCTCTAGTATGAACTTCACTGTCTTTTGTAATTCACTCAGCGATCCGTAAAAGTTTGACTTGCACAAATGTTTTTCTTTTCCAAAAGTTTTGCTATGATTTGTTGTATTTGGGAAAGTCTTGGAGGACATGATCTGTTGTCTCAGGTGCCAATCCGAATGTGCACATGGCTGATTCACCGATTTTTAAATTTTGTTTACTTGTGGCTGTGAAGTCGATTGTGTCCTGTTCTAAGTATTTATGAATGAATGCTAACAGAAAATGCAAGTTTAACAAAACGACGTGTAAGAATATGTGAACGATGAATTCAGAGTGGATCCAGCAATGAGGAAAGTACAAGAGGAAGAGCGATGTGTATAAAATCAGTGGGTTATGCGAACAGTTTGTATCAAAACCCTAATATATTTGCTGTGGGAAACAGAGCATCAGTAGGTATGCCAGATGTGCTGTGATGTCGATTCTTGGATCAGTAATCAGTAGACAGGCGCATAAACGGAGAGCATAATTGTTAAAAGAGATTGAGACTGTACTATTACATACAGAGAACTTACATTTGTAGTGTTCTTGTCCAGAACTTTCAGCCAAAGTTTACAGCCAGTGAACACCAAGAAGAAGAAGAAGAAAAAGAAATGTCTGCTAGCATGATTGTAAGATTGAATTAATTTGTACATGCATTTTTGTAAACGTAAATACCAGACTTTTTAAAAATCTGTTTTTAACTTTTAAAATTTATTATTTACAGAAACCCTTTACGCATCTTCTTAGCAGTGTCAGTGCTGGTCTTCGTTGCAGTGAATGTAGCGGTCACTGTGATAACAAAACACCACGAACGCCACTATCACTCGATACCTCTTTATTTGATTTATATCCGAGTCACCCTAACGGAGACCATGTTTTTCATTTATGGAACTCTTTTATCAGTTTCCATCTTTAAGATGACTAAGATGACTTCCACACAGAGGGTTCTAGAAGCAAAGGTTAGATATTTTTTGTAAAGACTAGTTGAGCATTTGAAATAAATGAAAGATTAGATTACAATTGTCAGCACCTTATACTTTTTCTGCAACCTGTTGTATTGTGTTTAGTGCAGTTGCCTACTGAGATAGTGGTCTGGGATCGATACCATGAATTGACCGCATTTTTTATTCTCGGATTCCCTCGGTCATAGGAAAAGTGGGTAAGATATAATTTCCAGAATTTTCTGCAAAGGTAAAATACAAGGATTCAAATGTGGCTCCGGGATTTATGTCACAGGCGTGAGGGAAAGTTAAGTCCAACATGATGTGTACAAGGAGAGACTCCGTACGTCACTCGGGCGCCAGTCCTTCACTGTTCTGGTTTTACGGAACCTCACGCAAGACCCCTGCAGCACATCCTCGTCGTGCGCCACGGAAAATGTCTCAAATGAGCATTAACAGAGCTGTCAGGGGATCTCAGAGTTTGGCGGCCCCTAGAGGTGTAGTGTCCTTGTGGCTGTCATCAGCCCGCCCCCCAAACGCATGGGTGAAAAAGCTTATCAAAACTCATTAGGAACATGAGTAAAGTGCTTGCCAAATGTACAACTAAAATTACAACCCTTGGTTAAAAGATTGCGGATTGAAGAGAACATTGTTCTGATGAGACTCAACCCTTGACCGAGAGATTTACCTGCAGCACAGACGAGTAACATCTCCTGTGGGTGGCGTCTTGCAGCAAGATTCTACCCATGTACATCCTCTGTTAACCCTAAGTGTCGTCGTCACCGCGCTGAGGTACACCACAACAGCAACAGCCCATTGGCTGGCTAAGCTTAAATGTCCGACAAAACTAGATCCTATGGCACACGAGTAAGCTCAAAATCCGGCCATCACAAATCGTATTGAATGGGAAAAAGCCCAAATGTCCACACCCAAAGACCCCACTCGCCCGAGTGTTGGGACCAAACAGATAACGATATGCCTGATGCAGGATATTAAACTCTGTCGTGCTAACGGCTCGTCAAAGATATCTAACGTGCGAAGGAAAAGAACCCGCGGGCTGCTCCCCGCTGATTTCCGGAGGGCGCAGCTCTTATCAAGCGGGAGGCCTAATACGGTTGTGAGGTTAAGCAGGCATGTGCAGGACGTGACGATTCCTTGGGTGAGCCCAGAACCAGAGCTCCATGTACCGGCTCTGCATTTATGGAAGCCTCCTTGGATGGCGGGGAATGTTCATGATCTGCCCCTGCCTTCCCTTGAGGGCTAACCATTCCACAAGGGGCTGCCCCAAAGGGGTACTCCGGGGGCAACACCTGCGAAAAAGGCGACGAAGAGGACACCGCACAAATCAGGCAATGTCTCTACCCACACAAAACCATGGCCACAGTCATCTTAGAAATAGGCCTGATGTCTTCCCTCGAAGTCGGAGTACATCTGTCCGCAAGGCAGGGAACAGCAAAACGGTTGTACACGCAAAACTCAGGTCCGGGTAAAAGCCAAAAGTCCAAGCGGACGATTAACCGGGAACTTCCGCCGGAATTCACTGTCGGTGAACGAAGAAGAAGAAGAAGAAGGATTCACACTGGCCACCATACCTGATGTGTTGAGGCCTAAAATGTGGCAAGCCTGAGACTTTGCATTTCACCAACATTATTTGTTATGGAATTACTTTATATCCTTTTATCCTTTTTTAGTATTTAAAAACTATATTTTTTCTTCTTCTGAATTTTAAAATTATTAAATGTTAACTCATACACACATGCACACACAGGTTCATGTGCACACACACACACACACAAGATAAACATATACAGGTGTAAGGAAAAGACAAGCACTGTTCTTTAGTCATGTGATGAGGAGGGGAGGCTTTGGATGACTGGGAAGATCAGCAATAGAAGAGGGAGAGGTAGATAAAAAAATATAATGACAGATGGATTGTGATGGTGGCACGTAGGGATATCATTGGTGGAACTGATCCAGAGGACAAGGGACTGAGATCTGTGAAGATGCATGAACGCCTATGCCAGTGGGAAGGGCACATGACATTGATGATGATGAAAACAAAAGCTTTCTTCTCATTGGTCAGTAAATGAGCCAAAGAAAGGTACAATGGAATCAAAAAATGACAATCATGTCCTGTTTACCTTTCCCAGCCCAACTACACACTGGTTGGCCTTTCATTCATGCTTTCTCAGGCTGGTCTACATCAGAGGTGTGTCACGTTCATTGTCTTGTCACCAATTACATCAGCGTTGCTGTCACTTGTTCCATAAGACAACAAGACACAGCTTTTAACGATCCCAGAACATCTAGAACTGACCTTAACCCAAACTCCCCTACCCGCAGCCTCAGCTTGGGTCTCACGAGAGTCTTTTGGAAGAAAAAATTACAGCGTCACACCCCTCTGACGTATATCAGCCTGAAAAAACATGAATGAAAGGTCAGTCAGTGGGTAGTTGAGCTGGGAAACATAAATAGGACCGACAGTCACATGCTACCCAAAAAAAAATTACATCTGATAACAATAGTCTTGCCAGCCACATTTATTTCCCAGAACATTTTCTGGTACCAGTTTTAGGTTCGGTCAACCTGGAAGCCATAAGCAAATTATAAAATCCACCTTAGTATGAATTCAGACTCGTCCTTACCCAACTAAGACTGTAGGTTACTGCTGGCTGGTGAAGCTGTTACAGATGCCATAATTATAACTTCTTTAGAGGTTGAAGGAGATATCTGGGATCTGCCTTGTTGGTCTGCCATCCACATAAGGATGCTGTGATGACCCTGCTTTGCATGGTCTCCACGAGTACATTGCGGCAAGCAGGAAGTCCGTGCTACAAGTGACGGCACGAGATACAGATGTTTTTATCTAAGGGTGGTATTTTAAACATTTAGGTAGTAGCATGGAGGGGACAGACCTATCAGTGGAGCAGTTGGATTCTAACCCAATACCTTTGGGCAGATAGAAGCAAAAGTCATACTCAGCTTGGGGAAGCGTCTATGCTGTCTTCATGTCAGGAGATACTATAACCAATGTTTCATGGGAACAGTCAGTAGAGATACCTGGGAGTGGCTGCGACGGAGGACTGACCATGCAAGGGAATGCCTATTGTGCAAAGACATTGATAGTGATAACATCACATCCCAAATTTGAACAGGAATACACAAAATCACTTAACTAAAGTATCTCTGAGAGAAATCACATACCTGTCTGGCCAGTTGAATCTCTGACATGTGTGTGATTTATGCATATATTTGTCATGGTGTGGGTTCTGCCTCTTCAGAAGTGAGATTTTAAAACTGCTAATTCACCCAGCCTCGTAAATTGAGTACTAGAAAATTCTCTGAGCTAATAAAAGCATCTAGTGTGCTGATATACATAATTTTTGTTTTCTGTAACCTGAAAAGTGTATGAAAGAAGTATATGTATATGTCTAACTTGTTAACATCTGTTGTTGCATTTTTCAGGGCACAACTGTTTGTAAAGCTGTGGCTGCAGCCATCTGGATTACACTGCTCTTCTTGTCACGCACAGTCTACAATATCATCTCTATGATTCCTGCAATGAAAGGAGCACCAAATTTTGGCTTTGACTGGATCAATGTCACAGACCAGGTATGTTGCTTAATCTTCATTAAAATGAAGGCACAAATTTTAAATATGTATATTTATAACTGTTTGTCTTATGTTTGAGTGGCTCACTGGCTCTGCAGCTTAGAGGTTAGTAGAGGTGTTGTTAAATCCTTTATGTACCAGGGTCTCTATTTCGGATTTTTGAACAGCATTAAAAGTCTCAGAATGGAAGATTGGGGCTCTAGGATTTTTGAACAGCATTAAAAGTCTCAGAATGGAAGATTGGGGCTCTAGGATTTTTGAACAGCATTAAAAGTCTCAGAATGGAAGATTGGGGCTCTAGGATTTTTGAACAGCATTAAAAGTCTCAGAATGGAAGATTGGGGCTCTAGGATTTTTGAACAGCATTAAAAGTCTCAGAATGGAAGATTGGGGCTCTAGGATTTTTGAACAGCATTAAAAGTCTCAGAATGGAAGATTGGGGCTCTAGGATTTTTGAACTGCATTAAAAGTCTCAGAATGGAAGATTGGGGCTCTAGGATTTTTGAACAGCATTAAAAGTCTCAGAATGGAAGATTGGGGCTCTAGGATTTTTGAACAGCATTAAAAGTCTCAGAATGGAAGATTGGGGCTCTAGGATTTTTGAACTGCATTAAAAGTCTCAGAATGGAAGATTGGGGCTCTAGGATTTTTGAACTGCATTAAAAGTCTCAGAATAGAAAATTGGAGCTCTAGGATTTTTGAACAGCATTACAAGTCTTAGAATAGAAAATTGTGGCTCTAGGATTTTTGAACAACAGTATTAAAGTCACAAAATGGAAGAGCAGGGCTCTAGGATTTTTTAACAGCAGTACAAGAGTCACAGAATGGACGATTGGGGTTCTAAAATTTGTAAACAATAGTACAAGAGTCACAGAATGGAAGAATGGAGCCTCACAGTGTAGTATTCTAAAGACAGGTAGACATTAATATCCGCTGAAGCTCATCGCAGACTGCAGAAAGCAACATGTAAGAACAGGATACTGCAGGTTCAGCTACCCCATGCATAAAATAAAGATTGTACAGTCCCCACAGTATGCATGTCAGACTAGACCACAAACACTCGAGCACATTCTGCAGGCCTGTCCACTCTACTTAGGTCTACAAAAAAGAAACCTGGCCTCAAAAGCAAAGTTTGCATAGCCAGCTATGGGAAACAACAGAGGACCTGCAACTGACATGCGAGTTCAAAGAGGCAGCCCACCTGAGGATCTAACCTGAGCATGTGAGACCTCAAACACCAGAAGCCACTTGTATAATATATTGCTTTCAAATTCCAGTAGGGCAAAGTGATTAGTGCAATTGCCTGTGGTCTGAGTTACCTTTGTTCCCCCCAACCACTGTTGCTTTTGAGCCAAGACAGCCTCATAAGAATGGTACCTGCCAGTTTTTCAGATATCTCTCTTACTCTCTCTTGCTCTTTCTTTCTCTTTCTTTCTCTGTGTCTCTCTCTTTCCCTTTCTCTCTCTTTCTCTCCTTCTCTCTCTCTCTTTCCCTTTCTCTCTTTTTCTCTGCCACTCTCTCTTTTTCTCTCTTTCTCTCTCTTTCTCCTTCTCTCTTTCTCTGTCTGCATCTGTCTCTCTCTCTCGCTTTCTCTCTCTTCCCCTGAAGAATTTCCACCCAGTAGAGACAAATCAGTTGGGACCCTAAGAACAGTCCTTAATCCAGGACAGAGTTTAGTTATGCAGCTAATGAACAATTTGCAAACTGTCAGAAATATGCTAATGAACAATTTGCAAACTGTCATAAATATATCTATAGCTGATCCCAATAGGATTAATACTTCCTGTGTCTGGCAAATATTTGAATACCCTTGCAGAATAATTTGAATCTCTTCTTTAATTTATGTCAGGATCTTCAAGTACTAGATTTCGATTTCCACAAGGAACCATTTAAAAAAAATAAAAGTAAATAAACCACTCTTGTGATTGTCAAACAGTGGTATGAGAATCACACCTTGGAAATGATTAGGGCTTTGCTATATAATATTCCCAAAGACAGCGGTCGGTACAATGTAACCTGCCTACATTGTGGTGACGGAAGAGCATTTTGCATTGATTTTATCAGACATAAACTTTCACTTGAACTCTCATGTTTGGCCCTGCTGGGATGGGATGATTGACTAACATGCAACTTAACTTTTCTTTCACAGGCTGATGCGGTCCCTCGATTGTCAGAGAGCCTGGCTTATGTGTCATTCGGTGTGGTGCTTTTTGTGTGGGAAGTGCTGCCCATTTCTATTGTTGTTATTTTCTTTCGTGTGAGAAGGCTAAGTACAGGCCAGGTAAGCTTGATTTCAGATGTGACAAGGCACTGTCCTGTCTGTCCATGTTCAAAAATCAGAAAGTAGAGATATAGAGAGATTGCTTTCTTTTGCAATCAGTGGTCAGTTGTGAAATTTCGGTGAACCCATTTTGCACAAACCTTAGAAAATATGCGTTTTTACAATTGTATTTGCATTACTGTTGCTGGCTGAAAGCTGTAAGGCTAATTGTTAGGCAGTGATTCAGCTATCAGTAAGAATAATGCCCTCAGCTCATTTCACGATTTCTGTGTTGGTAGCGGTTGCAAGAGGGTAGGGTCGATCAAGCAGCTCTCTTGTCTCTACGTCCTGGTTCTTTGATTCTCTGAACCGAGCGACCGACTTTACTTTCATCAACTTCAAAACTTCCATATACATCACATTGAGGCATTCTAAATGTTGACAATAGTTTGCTTTTCTGCAATGCAAGATTCTGCCACAATTTGCTGTTTATAATGCAAGTTGTTATGATGCTCCATTTCAACGTTTTAGGGCAGCCAAATTATTTGACCACTTACGGTGCATTCTGATGCAGACAGTTGGCACAGGTCATATAAATTAAAGTTAAAGTAAATTATGTCAGCTAACAAAAGTACTTTCTAAATCAACAAGAGTTCTTCTTGTGAAAGGATTAGTTGGCTGTGAATGTTGTGAAACATTCCTACCATGTATATTTGCAAATTAGACCTACACAATTAAACTTAAAGTAAGATTGAATGTGAATTTGCTATGAGTTTCAACATTCTTCTTCTTCTCCTCCTCCTCTTCCTCCTTCTACTCCTCCTCCTCCTCCTTATCATCATCGTTTGCCTCTTTTTTCTTCTTCTTCTTCTCCTCCTCCTTTTTCTTTTTCTTCTTCTTCTTCTTCTTCCTCCTTTTCCTCTTTTTCCTCTTCCTCATCATCATCATCCTCATCTGGGTTTGCCCCTTAAAGTGTTATGGTTTGCAACAAGGCTGTGATAACTGCACCGTTCAGCCTAAAATATCCTGTTTCAGCAAATCCTTATTTAGCCGTCTTTTATGACATGCTTTGTAAGGAGCTGTGGTTCTGATTCATTTTCTTACCAGAATGGGGCTGCAAAGAAAGAAGTTTCAGTATTCAGATAGACAGTGGAAGATCTTAACCCACTGACTACCTAGCGCATTAACCCTTGCACTTTCCCAGATACCATGTATTTGGGGAGCATCCAAACTTACAATCACAGGGGATGTGATAATGGCATAGACGTCGGCCGATCGCATAATTTGTGTTCATGGTAGTCTGTGAGTTAATGATTGTCATGTGTTCATGGTAGTCTGTGAGTTAATGATTGTCATGTGTTCATGGTAGTCTGTGAGTTAATGATTGTCATGTGTTCATTTAAATAAAAAATAAAAAAACATAATTGAAGGTTATATCTTCTCCTTTTTTGTGTTCACTGGCTGTAAACAGTAACGGAAAGTGCGCCACTCTGAGTGTTGTTCAGCACCTATGCATCCCAAAGGTCATATATAATGTTTTTTTTTAAATGGTTGTATGCCTTTCCCTATCATATTACATCTTTCCAACTGGCATGGGGGATGTTTATCTCCATATCTTGTAACTTCCAGTGTAAACTATCAAAATATGTATGCCCTGGACAAATAAAAATTCTGGCACGTTATGGCCTTCCCATACAAGTTGCCAGATAGGGATTTTGCTTTTTGGTCATCTGCTAATGCATGTAACAATTTTGAGAGTTCTTAACCTATGTTACTGTTGTCTTGTTCATTTACATGAAGGTGCTAACCGATTTTTCAACGCAAAGTAATGGGTCAAGAGTTTTCTTCTTTGATAATCCTCGACGTTATGACAGTGAAGATGACCTAGCTTCTCCATCCAGTTCTGCCTAGTGAGTAACATTTGTTGTTGTTGTTGTTGTTGTTGTGTTTTTATAGTAAATTAATCATAAAGTTGCACACTTTAGCAGAAGAAAAACAGTATTCAGACTGCCATAATATATTTATAAAGACATCAAGGGGGATATTCATGATATTTTGATTTCTGTAGTGACAAAAGGTGCTTAACTCTTCAAGTCCCAAGATTTTGATAATTTAACTCTTTCTTTTCCAAAGGGTTAAGCTTAAAAGCATAAAAATACATAGGTCTTAGGGGGTGTTCGACAAAGATATTATGAGACAGAAGTAGTTCAACTAATAATTAACATACAGTGTTCTCATTATTCATGTGTAAAACCATCAGCTTTCATATAATTTGTCATTGATCAACTGACTGTCAATGGTTCCCTTCCGTATATCAGGTTTAGATCTAAGTAGCTCGTAAGAGCTCGCTTTCTCACCACAGTTGATAAATTTAAAAATTTAAAAAAAAAAAAAAAAAAGATTACTTAGAGAATTCTTCATTCTTCCAAACCATTGTAACTGTGACTAAATAAATTTAAAAAAAAAAAGCAAAAAAAAATTAGACCCCATTACTGTGTAGGTTCTGTGGCCCCATTTTGGGGGGAAAAAAGTCGCTCCTCTTCTACCTTGTGGTGTAGAGGTTTGCCAGAGAGATTGCCAGACTTCTCTATCAGCAGTTTTCTGGCTTTGTTCTATTCCAGTCCTCTGTCAGTCAAGGGCTATCGGAAGTTGTCTTCTCAGCAAACCCTGGTGGTCTGGTTCCCTGGTTTTTGGCATCCCATGTCTGCTATAGTGGACGAATCTCTTCTATTCTGGATACATGTCCAAACCATTGTAACTGTGACTGACCCATTCAAGTCTGTAAGGCCTGGGTTTCAAGGTCATGATGTATTGTCTGATTGTGAACTTTGTCCCTTCCCGTCACTTGGATCACCTTTCTCAAATACCTCATTTCTGAGGCCTGAAGAACTTTGTCCTTTCTTGTCATGTGGACCACCTTTCTCAGACACCTCTGAGGCTTGAAGCTGGCTTCTGTGATGGTCTTATTACAAGATATAACAATACATTTGACGAAGAAACTAAATGTGCATTTCCATATTTTGACTGAAGAAATAATACTTCTTTCAGTAATTGAGGAAAGTTAAATAAGTTATAAATCAACTTGTGATGTAAGGTAGTCGACAGATTATCCTCATTGCACATCAAACTATCCAGTTCATAAGTGTGCGGATCCCCTACTCAGTAAATCCTGCAGCGTGTAGCGGCTGGCAACACGTTTTGTGTTGGTTTCTTATTCCACTTTGGCTTCCTGCATAGTGTTCTTGTCTGGCAACCCCCCTTTGAAAGTCAGAACTAACCAGTTATATGTTCCTTGAAACAAAAACAAACCAAAAAAGTTAATACTAAAACACAGAAATAAAAGGTGAGATATGTGGTTTTTATTTGTCAATCAATTTTTTTGTTTCAGCGCGGATGCTGCAGGGTCACGCTCTTTCACTGGCGACAGCTATCGCTCCATAACACCGAGGGGAACCCCTATCAACAGTTCTCTGTGGGGAGCTGCAGGTGCCCCTTCCCCACTGTTAAATTCTTCTGGTGCTTATTCTGGCATGCCAAGTGACGGGGCGGGCCTGTACAACCCAAGAAGTCATAATTATGGGTCAATAAATGTAGGTAGAGACGTTCAGTCTGGAACCGCTACAGGTTGAGTTGTTTCCCATTAAGGAAGAAGTATGCTCGTTGTTGTGATTTTTTTAATTTGAGGTAAGGCAATTCTTGGATTGTTTCACACAAGGAAGTTGTGTAAGTTTTAAGATTACCAAGGCTGTGATATTTACATCTAGTTTTGTTACTCCATGCTCTTTGTCAAATGTTAATATGAATGAGGAAAAAAACCAAAATGAACTGCTAAAAAAATGGACTGCTAAATATTGATTTAACAATTGTTATGGTTTGAAAGTGTTTTATATCACTGTCTGTTACCAGCTGATTCAGCAGTAGCTATGGTTTCAAAGTTTCTTGTCACTGTTTGCTAAGCACAAAAATAGAAGGACACACTAGACAGCATAAAAATGGCAAGCCATAGTTAGTTTCAGGAATTAAATCTGTTATCTCCAAATGATGATGGCAACTCACTGCAGGAACAAGTGTAATTTGACACATGACCTCTCGATGCTGCAGGAACAAGTGTACTTTGACACATGACCTCTCGATGCTGCAGGAACAAATGTACTTTGACACATGACCTCTCATTACTGCAGAAACAAGAGTACTTTGACACATGACCTCTCAATACTGCAGGAAGAAGTGTACTTTAACACATGACCTTTCAATGCTGCAGGAACAAGTGTACTTTGACACATGACCTCTCGATGCCACTAGAAGGATTCTTCATTAGAGAGGTCATCTAGTTTTAACCCAGGGCTATGAAATCTGAACATAATTTTTTCAAACCATTGAAATAGCACCTTAGGTTACAGAAAGTCTTATTAACCAAGCATAGACCAGTTGTCAGCACCATTTGGTTATCAGCATCATTGTAAGTGCGGTTTTTTCCTATAGTGTTCTTGGGCTCCAATTTGCGGGGCAACAAAAGAAAATATATCCACTGCCCATCAACCTCCCCAAAAGCATGTCATAAAAGTCGACTTATTAGGGGTATGTCCTTCAAAGTCGGAGTGCAAGGAACCAACAGTCTGCATACAAATATGCCAGATCTGTAAAATGGATGTGCATGCAAAATAAAGTTTTGGAACAAGGCCAAAGTCCTAAAGTGGGTGAACAACCATAATTTACCACCAGAGTTTACAGCCAATTAACTCTTAAAAATAAGGATAATATACTGTCTTGTATACATTAAAGGTAACTTGCAGGAGCCGCTGTAACATACATACCTGGTCCAAGCTCTTTGTGGTTCAAATTCGCATAAAGGTAGATATTTCTAGCTGACCTAGCCTTTCAGTTTGACCCAACCTAAGATTGGTACTGGGAAGTGAGAAGTGGGGGCTGAGTGGTCTCAAGGTACGACATCCGCCTCGAGGGTTAGATTCCTGGGTTCAGACCCCGGTGAAGGCTGGGATTTTTTCACGTGGACTTCTAGTAATTTCCCCTGGTCTCTGGCTAGTAAGATCGAACGCCCGTGTGTATTGTTGCACATGTAAAAAATACCTTGGCAGTTAGAGATAAAAAAAAAGAGTAGCCCAACGGCACTGCCCGGGCAAAAATTTGGAGTTAAAAATCTGCCCATAGTATTTCAGGATCCTCACCGGTGCAACAGAGTTCATACACTGCGCTGAGATTCTTCAGACTCACGCTTGAGTTAGAAGTAGAACAGAGCACTTATGGGTTACACTGGAGTGCCATGATGTTGATCCATTTAATAAACCAGTAAACCAAACTGGGAAGTAAACATGACTGGCTTTAGGTTAACCTCACCAGTCCAATACTGGTCAGTCTGTACAAATATGAGTCTAACACCATGACTGTCACTTAGTCTTAGTTGAGGTTTCAGCTTCACTGCAGTTGGATAACCCCACACTTGCTCCGTTCCTGTGCCAGTGAAATATCCCTCACTGTCCCGTCTGAAAAACTGGTAAAGAAAAAAATTAGTCGTGGCACAGTCCAGAAATGCGCACATGCAGTAAGTGGCATCAGAGTCAACAGTTGCCACCAGAAATATGCACATGCAGTAAGTGGCATCAGAGTCAATAGTTGCCACCAGAAATGCAGTTTGTTATTGATGGAAGTAGTCAGTCATGATAAGTTGGCTTTACGTGCATACAATTATTACATAAGGTATTTCGTCAGCCCACGCGTAAACCAACTACCAGCCGGTTGCTGGCTGGCTAGTGACTACCACAACCCAACTGCTGCACAAATGAAAGGCCTTCAAAATTGAAACAAAATAAAAAATATTTTTAATAAAGCTCACAGTGCTGCACCAAACCCTTAACTTAGTAGCTTAGGCAACAAAACTGTAGACTTCTGTCCATATATGGAAACTGCATTAGCAAATCTCTGTCAGAAGCAAAATCAACTTTAAAGCTAATCTTTCTGTCATACCTAGTCCTCCATACTGGGCCGAAAGTCTGTCACTGTGTGTGGAAAGCCAGGGAAGATTACCATATTTTATATCCCTAGAAACTCTAAAATGGAAAAGGTTTTTTGTTCACGTTAAGCGTCATGTCTGGAAAGAATTTTGTTCACGTTAAGCGTCATGTCTGGAAAGAATTTTGTTCACGTTAAGCGTCATGTCTGGAAAGAATTTTGTTCACGTTAAGCGTCATGTCTGGAAAGAATTTTGTTCACGTTAAGCGTCATGTCTGGAAAGAATTTTGTTCACGTTAAGCGTCATGTCTGGAAAGAATTTTGTTCATGTTAAGCGTCATGTCTGGAAAGAATTTTGTTCACGTTAAGCGTCATGTCTGGAAAGAATTTTGTTCACGTTAAGCGTCATGTCTGGAAAGAATTTTGTTCACGTTAAGCGTCATGTCTGGAAAGAATGGCCATGGAGGGCGCAGTTTTGGAAAATGAGATAGGCAGACGTCCACAAAGAAGGATGCAAGACACTGAAGATGCATCGGCTACGAAAGAACATCAGCTGGAGAACTAGTTGGAGTAAAATGAGATAGGCAGACGTCCACAAAGGAGGATGCAAGACACTGAAGATGCATCGGCTACGAAAGAACATCAGCTGGAGAACTAGGAGTAAAAGAGACTTTTAGGCATACCGTGAAAGAGCAATGTTCTGTATATGCCTTCCTTATGCATCTTTGGCATGAAAAAGGTCCTATACTTTCCTCTATTTTCAAACCAGGACGCTCAATAGGGGAGGTTGTTAAATATGAGATTGATTGACTTTTACTTCTCATAAGGAGGGCTGTGTGGTCTCGAGGTATGACATCTGCCTCAAATGCTGGTGTTCTGAGTTCAAACCCTGACGTAGGCTAGGATTTTTTCACGTGGACTTCTAGTAATTTCCCCTGGTCTCTGGGTAGTAAGATCGGATGCCCATGTGTATTGTTGCGCACGTAAAAAATACCTTGGCAGTTGAAAATCGAAAAAGAGTAGCCGTCTGGAGTAGCGCTGTCCAGGCAAAAAGTTAAAAATCTACCAAAGTATTTCAGGATCCTCCCCGGTGCAACGGAGTTCGTGCACTGTGCTGAGATTCTTCTGATGCATGCTTAAATTAAAGGTAGAACGGAGCACTTATTGGTTACACCCTTGTGCCATGATGTTGATCCGATGACTAAACTAAACTAAACTAAACTACTTCCCATACAATTTTATGCTACCCATTTTAGGCTGGACTGCATTTAAAAACACTCACACCCTCAATCCCCTGCCTTTAAGGGGATTTGCTTCGTTGACCACCATACAGGCAGGCAAGCTGGCTAGTCACTGCTCTACTGTGGCTTCCTGTGTCATATAGTACCCTCTCTAAACCTAGTTTTCACCTGATGATATCAGCTTTACTATTTTATGTGTGTGTCCTAATGTATTTAATGACACATAGATTCTATTTGTGTGTGTGTCTTATTTAATTATACAGTCCCGAATGTTAAAAAGTAATGTCTTTTCTGAAAATGTATCATTATAAACTTGTTTCTTCTGGTTGGAGTATTAATTAATTGCCATTTAATATATGGCTTGCCAAAAAGATTCATCTTTTTATTTATTTTAATTTATTTTTATGCTTATCACATCATTCATCTAGTTCTTACTGGTCCATAAAAAAATTAATGATTATTTACGGCTTTGAAAAATAGGGTCCTTATGCCAATTTACAGTTACCATTGATAGCCTGTTGATTTATGTGGTAGCAGTGGTGAAGCAGATTCCTAATTGACCTGGGAGTGTCATTTCATTTTGATAAACTTGTGCATATTTTGTACACATTTAAAACAAATAGAAATCATAGTTTATTTTGGGTAGCCAGTTTACGTGTGAACTGGTGAAATACCAGGTGTAGTAATTCAGCCAACATATCGTGCCCGACTACTTCACTAGGGGCCCTGTTAGTGCAGTCCACACAAGACTTGCTTTAAAATCCAGCTGCGGCCCGCTGCAGCCTGCGGTCGGTGTTCGAAACCGAGCGGTTCCCGGGGTTCACCCAGCCTCTAGGAAATTGGTACCAGAGTTGACACTCTAGGGTAAATGGAGGAACGTCGGTGTAGCTACGGAGTTACATGCGGACGGCGAAACAGACGGACAGTTTCTTATCAGCTGTACATACTGGTGGCAGAGTACTTAGGTTTATAACCGTGTGCAATGACGCTGGTTCACATCTCCCGACTACCTTTTTTACCTTTACTTCCATCAATGACAAATTGTGTTTCTGGTGGCGACTGTTGGTTTTGGCGCCTCTAGCAACTGCCACCGCATTACTGCTTGCACAATAGTCTAGATTGTTTCAGGACTAATTTTTTTGTTCACCAGTTTTCAAATGGGACAGTGAGGGACATTTAATTTGATTTGCACTAGCATAGGAACGGAGCAAGTATGGGGAAACCCAATTGCAGTAAAGTTGAAACTTCGACTAAGACTAATAGTTTAAACTGCTTCAGGCTACATCAACTAAATAACATTTTTTTGTGTGTGGATACCTTCAAATAATAGCATGTTTTAGTTAGCTCACCCCAGATGCTTGGTGGAAACAAAATATAAGAATATTAGTTTATTTGTTTACCCATTCTACATTCCATTGTGC